TGCTTCAAACTGGCTCATGTCTAGTGACCTCTCCCCACGCCCCAGAAGGTCTGGTGGAGCGGCGGCAAAGTGCTCAGTGGAGGTGTTCCTGTCATTGCCGGGGCCATCGAGTCGGCTCCACAGCCACCTCGTGCCCAAGAGAACAAAACACTGCCCGGTCCTCCACCGTCCTCGCAACGGCCCCTGTGCCTGAGTGCATTGCGGCAGCCACTGCGTCCATCCATCTCGTTGAGCGCCTTCCTCTCTCTCACCGCCCATCCACTCTACGGAGCACGACGTCCTGCTCCAGGGCCTGGTCCCTCCTGACAACCTGTCCAGTCTGTGAGGACATCTCACCATCCTCGCCTCTGGGAGCCCTCGGGCCTCACTTCTTCCAAGACCGACCGGCTTGTCCTTTGAGCAGTCCGTGGTACTGCCAACCTTCTCCCCCAGCATCACGATTGCAATGCACGGATGCTTGTTTGATTTTCTCTGTCCCGTGTCCAACTTTCCCATGCACACGATGCAGTGGGAAGTACTGTTGTCTGGGTCAGGCACACTTTCGTCTTTGAGGGGGCATCCTTGCTCTGCAACACTCTAAATGGGTCTGTGCAGCAGGGCTGACCTAATGCAGCACCTTTTCGATCTCTTGACTGCCGCTTCCATGAGCATCCTCGACAACCTCCACCTTATCTCCATCGATCACAGTGTTACCTGTCGGTGTCGGCGTGGGGACTTGGGTCTGCTTCACATCGAGAGGTCACGTAAACCTCTCTAGTCAGGTCTCAGCATCTTAGCGGGGCTGCGTGGAGGAAGGACAGCGGCTTGCTCCTTGGAGACAAGGATGGTGAGACTTTGTCTCGTGTACTTGGGACACGATGTTGGGAAAGACTAGCCTCTGAAGGACGCGTGCTTGGTAAACAAAGCAGAAGGTCAAGGAAAAACAAGGAAGCACCTCAAGGAGATGAACTGGCTGCGACACTGGGCTGGAAGGTACCAGGAGGGTGAGGCCCCTGCAGGGCCGGGCTGTGTTTCCTTCGGGGGCGGAACGGACTTGGTGGCATCTGGGGAGAAGACTTGCTGTCTGAGTGCTTCACCCTCCATCCCGACATCTTCCTTCAGAGCCACCCCTAGGCCCAAGACCCTCTCGGCTCTCAGTGGGCAGCTGAGAGCCATGGTCAGTGGCCAGCACGAGGACTTGAGGGACAGATGTAGGTAAGGCTGATGTATGAGCAGGAGGACAGCAAGTTCGCCCGGGCCACACTGGGTGCATGGCCCAGAGCAGCAACCCTCACATGGGCCACTCGGGGAGGGCGGGGACTCTGGGTCAGAGTGGCGACCGTGGCAGCGGTGACCAGCTGGTGGCGGCCACCCACTCACCATCTGTGGAGCAGCTGCTGGCCCCATCGCTGGAGCAGTACCGCATCTCGATGCGCTGCCGGCCCACGTCCAGCAGGCTCGGGTCAGGCAGGCGGGCCTTGCAGGTGTAGCGGAACCGCTGTTCGTAGTGGCCACCGTTGTCGGAGATGTTGACCGGCGTCCAGGGTGTCCAGGGCGTTGTCTTCTTCAGCTCTGGGCAGGCGTTGGTGTTGCAGGGCTGGTACTCCTGCAGGGGAACAGGGCAGCAGGTTGTGGTGGCCGGCCAGGGCTGTCCCCAGGAGGCTAGAGACCCCAGAGACAGCAGCGGCAGACTCAGGCCCTGATGTCCATCCCGAGACGGTAGCTCCCTGGCCACACAGGGGCTGAAGCCCAGGGGCAGCCTCCAGGAGGACATCCCTGGTCACACACAGAACAGAGAGGTCCCACTCACGTGAGGCACCTGGGGCAGGTGCAGGCGGGGAGCCTGGTGTCAAAGGTGGCAGGGGGCAGGGGGCTGTCTGCAGGGCACTGAGCCTCAGTGTGGGGAGAGCAGGCACTTTGGGCAGGTGGCAGTGGTGGTTGTGGCCCACCACAATGAAGGCCACCAGGTAGCGTCCAGGTTAAACTGGAGGCCAGAACAAGGGGGAAAGCTGCTGGCATATGATTGAGTCCATGCCAGGGCCATGTTAGATAAAACAGACGTAAAGACAAAATAACCATTGGCCCAGGGTCAGGGCACCACGAGCTGCTCCCTGTCCCAGGGGTGACCCAGCCCTGGCCA